TCATTGTGGATCAAGTGACACCAAGCAACTGGATCCACCAGAGACAAAGCCACAAGTGGGCGTCCTAGATGTATGACAGGAAGATCAAGTAAATGTTATTCAGAACTATAAAGCAGTGTGCTATATGAAAGATAAATTGGAAGTGCATGAATATCATGAGCAAATGAAAACCATTTGATACTCAGTGGCAACACCCCTCACAGATGACTGGATTTAACCCAATGTTGCTGGGAAGATGCTGTGCTCATTTCAGAATTTTTTGTGAAATGTCAATGTACATACATGGGTCAGCAAATGCTTAGCCACAAAGGAGTCATTTAGTAGACCTTGTAACCTTACCTAATTTCACCTTTCCTCGAATTTGTGGGGAATTTTTTTTTTTTTCTTAGTAATACTGATGGTGTTATTTTTATTGCAGACATTATATTTACAGTTATTGGCATTAGTAATGGCAATATAAGGTAACAAAAAAAAAAAAAGTAATTAACAGTGGCATTAGTGGCACCTATACCACCAGATTTCCCAACATTCACTGAGCTGGTGGCTGTAACAAGAAATATTAAAAGTATACATTTCAAAATCTTTTATTTTTTAAATGCAGTGAGCAGAAAAAGAGCTATTATAGGGGCTTTTTTAATCTATAACTACCCCACTCCCAGTCCCTTGCTTGTCATGGGGGGGGTTAGGAAATGTAGACTTGCCCTCAGCCTTCGCCTCAACTAATTTCACATGGTCTTCGCCCCCTTTCCTTTTCTTACTCTTCTTCGTCCCTTTCTTCTGTCCACTTATCCTAATCCTTAACCCAATTAAACGCCATTTCACCACAATACATTACCATAGTGCTATGTGACCTTTGATGTGTAACATATTTATTTGTTTTAACCATTAACCATCACCAAGCTATAACTGGATATATCTAGGAGTAATTAGTAAAATAGTTAAAAATTATGGCCCTTAGGCGGGGCAAGCCATACCCTGATGTAGGTAAACAGACTCAAGGGGGGGCAACTTTTTAGTGAATGTATGTAACCTACCATGTCCACAGTCTGTTTAGTTTATTAATTGTTTTTAAAAAGAGATGGCTTCACAAGTGCTTAATCACCATTGAATCAATCACTGCTCCATTCTGTCTCACCAATTTAACATTTCCTTGATTTTCAGAAATATTTTAATTCATTTTAATTTATTAGTAGTATTGTTGATAATACAGGAAAACTATAATGTCAATAATACTGATAACAAGATCAATATTAATAGCATTAGAAATCAGGTGAGGTTATGTATACTACTAATATCTAGATACATTTCACAAAACATTTTCCTGGTGGCATTTGGTTAATATGAATCACACACCAAAAATCAAATTGATAATAACTGCTTTTGCATTACTTTGAATATCTCCTTTCGGGATGGATTGAATATCCTGCATTGAATATCTTCAATCAGTTTTCTCTGATGAGATATTTCAGGAAATACATGAATGAAAAATAAAAATAAATAAAAATTGACTTATGTACTTGTGTACTTTTCAACCAAAATTTTTGCCCCAATGAAAATATATATGTATATTTATATATGTATACACATGTATATTTATATATAGATGTGTATATATATATATATATATATATATATATATATATATATATTTATGTGTGTGTGTGTGTGTTTAAAAATGTATATATATTTAAACATATATATTTAAACACATATATTTAAACATATACATATATATATATATATATATATATATATATATATATATATATATATATATATATATATATATATATATATATATGTGTGTGTGTGTATGTGTGTGTGTGTGTGTGTTCAGATATACAGTAAGTCCCCAACTTACGAACATGATGGGGACCGAAAGGCTGTTCATAACTCCATTTGTTTGTATGTCCAAAGTCGGGTCTCAATTGCCTTTTTTCCCATTGTTTGTTTACATTAAGAATACCTGTACATAAATCCCAATAAGTATGACATACCTTATACAGTACCTGTAATATGTAATACTTTTAATATTATTTGATGGTGATTCATACAACTTTAATGTAGAAACAATTTATTTAAAAAGAAAATATATTGTAGTGGTGATGGCTGGCGAACCGATCGATAAGATGCTGTGTGGTCAGCTGAGCAGGGGAGAACACAACCAGAGCCGTCACACAACACAAAGCCTACATCCGTTAGACCAGGGATGATGCCATACCATGCTGAGAAAGATCAATAAACATGGATAGATTAACATGGCGTCAATCTATGGGGTTGAACCGGTGTCTATTAATCTGGGATGACTAAGCGTCTGTATATCAGGGTCAAACAGCTGCCATGGTTACCGCTAGGTTACAGACTTGCATTTAGGTTACACATTTTAATGTTAGGGCTATGTCAGTTATATACATGAAAGCATTTCACGTGAAATATAAAACAGAAAACATTGCAGGCTTGAAATAAAAATTAGGAAACTCGTAAGACTTACCGTGTTCGC